TGGGCTGAGACTCGACGGAGCGTCTCGTCCACCAGTTCGCGAAGGCCTTGTCCGTGCGGATCAGCCGCCACCTCGAACAACAATACCAGCCGCAACCCCGACTGCAACCGCAATTTTACGACATGATCGCTAGTAATTCCACGGTGTTCACGAGCAGCATATGCAAGGAACATTTCTTGCCATGGACCAGCAATAATAATAACAATATCAACAGTTCCTCGTCGTCTTCTTCGGTTGATGATGATTTTTTCCAATCTTGTTACCTATGGGTGAATCAGATAACGCCATTTATCCGATTCAGCCACTTGACGGCGAATCAGGCCATACTCGACGCGACGGAGACGACGAGTACGAACCACGCCGGAGTCGGTGCCGTTATACACATTCTCGACTTGGACATCACTCAAGGCCTTCAATGGCCTCCATTCATGCAAGCCCTATCAGAGCGATCCTCCACAAACCCTAGCCCCGTCCACGCGCCTTCTCCACCTATTCTCCGGATCACCGGCTGTGGCCGCGATTTAACCCGTCTTAACCGGACAGGAGACCGGTTATCCCGGTTCGCCCACTCGCTCGGACTCCGGTTCGAGTTCCACCCTCTCCTGCTCCACGACGGCGATCCGGCCAGTCTCGCCTTGCGGCTGCGCGATCCGGAGAGTCTCTCCGTCGTCCCGGAAGAGATTTTGGCCGTAAACTGCGTCCATTACTTGCACAATCTCGTCACCGATGATCCAAGAGACATACGTATGGTTTTGTCGGCGATCAAAGCCCTAAACCCTAGAATCGTGACGGCGGCCGAAAGAGAGGCGAACCACGGAGCCACAGCCTTCGCGCAGAGATTCTCGGAGGCGGTGGATCACTACGCGGCGGTTTTCGAATCGCTGGAGGCGACGCTGCCACCGAACAGCCGGGAGAGGCTGACGCTGGAGCAGTGGTGCGTTTTTCGAATCGCGGGAGGCGACGCTGCCACCGAACAGCCGGGAGAGGCTGACGCTGGAGCAGTGGTGGTTCGGTCGGGAGATTATGGATATTATTGCGGCGGAGGAGGCGGAGAGACGTCAGAGACACCAGAGGTACGAGGTTTGGGAGGCCATGTTCAGGAGCTCCGGCTTCTGTAATGTTCCGATCGGTGGTTTCGCTTTGTCTCAGGCAAAGCTTCTCCTAAGGCTCCATTATCCTTCCGAAGGTTACAAGCTTCAGTCCCTCAAGAACTCTCTCTTCCTTGGTTGGCAAAACCACCTTCTTTTCTCTGTTTCTTCGTGGCGGTGATCATAGATTCGAAACAAAGATCGCAGAAACAAAGGAACAACAAAAGAACCCGAGAAAAAAAAAAGGGTTAAAAACCCTAGATTTTAGGTGTACGAGTGAAAATATGAATCGATCACTTGTTGCCGTGATCCGATGTATGAATGAATGAGTGTTTTTAGTCAGGTCAAGAGATGATTTTGTGGCGGCTCCGGCGACCATCGGCGGAGAGATCTGTGGCGCCGTGCAAATCTTGGCTTATGGGTCTTTCTTGGGAAGCTCAAAGAAAGAGACAACCTAATCTTTGTGTTTTAACCTACTAATTCTATTTTTCAAACTCAAAATCTTGTTGTACCGTTTGTTATATATTATCCCATTTGTCTCTTCCTCATGACATGACCCATATTTTTGGGCTTTTAATTAATTATTGTTGTGTTTATTTGATTATAGTAGTACGTACATTTTGTCCATTAGAGCACATATATGCGCATATGCATTTTAATATGTATCCACTCAGATTCCATATGTAATAATTTGTTGTGATTATATATATAAGGGGATGGAATTTGTGTGGTTATGGATCGAGATAGAGCCGCCCAAATGGAAAACGAAATCAAAGGAAATATGGGTAGGTGAAAATGCGAATCGAAATCGTGGATTTTGTGACGTTTCGGTTTAAATTTTAATTTCCCCTCAAATTTTGAGGCAAGAGCACTCTCAACCGACCTAAGCTTTTATTATTTATTTATTTAATTATTTTAATTTGCATGGGAGAGTTGTTGATCTGTCTCTTCGGGCTTTTGAGAGATTCCATATTTATGATGCCTCTGTTTTCTCTCATATTTAATATACTTTTAATGTCCACAAACTCACCGCACCTTTGTTTGTGTGGATACTTTTCTCCCATTGTGAAGATGCCTTTGCAAACGTATATATACATACATGTATGCGTGTGATATATATATACATATATATAATGCCTAGTCTCTCTTGTATTGAAAAGTTTAGATCTTATTTACTAGAAAAATTTTGAAGGGGTTGAATTCTGTAATCTAGGGTTTTTTTTTATTGAGTTTTTTTGGACGTCCAAATGAGGTATCTTGAAGAACTCGGTTGAAGTGATTGATTATTATGTATCTTGTCGTCTACATTATATGCCACTTAACACATATAATATAAGCGTATTAAAAAATTAATTACTTTCGTGCATTTTACAAAAAAAAAAAAAACAAATATGCGTGGATGAGCATCAATTCTAATGTTTTTTTTCCACCAATCAAAACTCCGCGTTAATGAAACGAAAATTAGAAAAATTAAAAATAACATTAGATAATCAAACCCGAATAAGAATCTACATTAAACAAAACAATATACACACGTTTGAAATATTATATGAGATTGAAAAATCGATTGCGTTGATTTCATATAATATTGATTTAGTGGGTAATTAATAATTTCATTGCAATTTGGTCGAGATTTGTTTGGAAAGGAATTAATGTATATGAGATCAAATTGCGGAAATCATTCGCCCTCGCTCTATCATGCACCATATATATTTTTATGCGAAATTATCTACGATTGATCATTTCCCGTCTCTCATTACCACCTTTATTGAGCTATATATATATAGAAAGCACACGTATAAGTATAGAGTTCAAGAAAGTTGTTATTATACTGTTTTGTTTATAAACTTACAACAAATCACTGTAATATATTGGCATACTGATTAATTAATTAATATACGCAAATTAACCGGTTACTTAAAAATAAATGCAACCATTAAAAAGGGAAATAATACAAGGGAACAAGGGATGATCCTGCAAAACAGCCCTCTTGTTTCCCCAAAATTCCTTTGTCCTGTCGAGTTTAAAAAATGATGGGTCTACGTTAATTCCAACATAAGAACTGATTACTAAACTCTGAAAAATAAAATTAAATGAGAGAGAGAGAGAGATTTGTTGTTAATTAAGGGGGCCTATGAGGTGTGAGATTTGTCATTAGGTGATGAAACATGTAATGAAAAACCCTAAAACGTGCCATATTGTCGGGTGAGACAAAACCATAAAAGTTGTCAAAACCAAAAACAAAAGGTTGTGTTTTTTGATACATCTGTTATATGAAAACACACACACACTTACTCTTTTTCTTATATATATATACACACACACACACATATATATATATATGTATATAGGCTCCTTAGATTGGTATCTCTCTCTCGTGTCCCGTGGCTTCTCTTCTCTTCTCTTCCCCCCATTTTTTTTTCTCATACCCTCTTGTTCACTCTAACCCCCACATTAATCTATACATACACACTTATATATACATATATATATGTATCACATCTACATGTGTCATGAAAGACATATGCAATCAGATTCGATCCTTCTCGATCACCGATGCTTTCTTTTCCCTTGTTTTTAAAGAACTCTTCATTTGTCGAGATTAGTGAAGGATTCTTCTCTCTCTTTTTTTTTTCTTTCGATTTAAAAAAAACAATTAACTAGTGTTCCATTGATAAATGAAAAGCATATAGCGATTTTCGGAACTAAGGTTTGCAGAAAAAGCCAATCCCTAATCCCTATATGAACTAAAAGTCAAATTTAAGACAGGTAACGAAAAAATATATATATAAGAATAATTATGTAGACTAATTAACTAGTTGTTGGAACAACGAACCTAATCTTTCTAGTGTATGTTGTCTGGATTTATAGATTGAGAGTGATTTTGTTTTTTTTTTTAAAGAGTTAAGTTGTTATATATATATATATATATGCCTATTAATGATAATCGTAAATGGTATCGATGTATGCCAAATGATTTGTTTACTATAAAAACGTTATCATGATGAAAAGGCGATGTTGAATCCTCTCTTTGAACTTTTAACAATCTACAGGGTTTTGATCTAAAAAAAAAATAGATGTTAGAAAAAAAATAGTTTACACATTGAATTGATACATAAAAAAAAAGATGGATATTAGATTGACACACACAAAATTTCCATTTCCATTATAAAGTAGGTCTAATTCGCACAAGATATATCATTGCATGTATCGTGATAATAATATATAATATCTGTTACATGATGAGACAGTGAAATATATAACACGAGGGAGATGACGTACGTCTCAATGAGCTGAAAGGTAAATTTGCGTGTAGAAAGGAACCAAAACTTATATTAAACGAATATATATATATATATATATACAAATTGTAACTGAGGAGAGAAAAAAAAAAGAAATCAGAGGGAGTTGCAGCCTAATGGATTTAGGGTTTCAGGTGAATTTTTGTATATATATTCATATGCTTACTGACAGAAGCAATCCCTCCCTCATCCTCTCCCCTTTTCTTCCATCAATCCATCAATCTATATCTTTGTTTTTTAATTTTTTACATTTCATTTTTCAGTTTATAATTCTTTTTTATTTAATTTCCATCAAACTCAAATAAATCCAATAAATTTTATATGGGAGTGTTATTTGGTTCGCTTCGATTTTATATATCCTAAAAAAATTAGCTATTTTTACATTTGAAGTATAATATATAAGGATGAAAATGTAAAAGGTGGTATAAAGAATAATCACATTATATTATAGAATACTCTTGATTGCTTAGTTTTAAGATGGTAACCCTAATAACATATCCAAAAAAAAAAATTAACCGCAGTCATCATCGACAGCCAAAACATAACATGTGGCCTCTGTCTTGTGCTCAAACAAAACTAAAATGGTTAGAACATTTAAAAAAAAAACAAAAGATAAGAGCAAAAGACAACTATCTGGTTTTCCGGTGGCCGGTTTTGGACACGTGGCGTGCATTCAGGTAAGGTCCACTGCTACTATATATATATATTGGAACGTTCTTACTTAAACAATTAATTAATTAAAATTGACTAAATAGGTAATTAGAGGGGTCTTAATCCTCGGCAGTTTGGTTCCTCCTGATTTCAGGTGTCTTTTGCCATCTGCGATGGGCGATGGCAATAAATAATAATAATAGTAAAATAATGTGTTCTCTTTCATTTCTGTAAATAAAATAATCTTTTTGTTTGTTTGTTGGTAGTATAAGTGAAGTTAGATTTAACATAATATCATATGATCTAATCGAATGAAAATTGCGTTTCTTGGATAATATGTTCTAATTACTTTGGTAAAACACGTGGAATAGTTGTCTCTTGAATATGTAGTCTAATTTAGGATCATTATATTCTCTTTTTTCAGGTACAACTACAATCCTGAATATGGATACCACCAAGTCAGTATCTCTCTCTGCCTATATATATATATATATATGTGTATATGCACACATGCACATGCACATGCATGACAGATTTGAACAAACATAATTATTGAATTAAGGGAAAATTAAAGAATAATAGATAAACGTCTTATATGAATCCATATGGGAATTACGATTTAGATTGTGGCTTTAACGTCCATAGCCGTGATGAATAGAGCTTTCTTAGTATATTATAATATCTACAACTGATATTTATATTTTCAAGAGATATCAGTCTATAGTTTTCATTAGACTATACTCAAATCAAAATGAAAATAATAACATATAATAATATATGTCTAATCAACATATAGAATCACCTATATATATATATATATATTTGGCAAATAACCTTGTGTTATATATTTTAAAACACAACGAAAACATTATTATTTGTTTCTAATTTTTTGTTAATATCCAAACAAAATTTACGAACAATAGTAAACACAGGCCAACACAGATAATATGAGACCGGGGAAAAACGATACACACATGTATATATATGTATATGTATACATACAACATCTTATAACAACTGCAATTTGCAAACAAACAGAGATCCACACCCACGCGTGGAGGTTTTTGACTTTTGTCGCGGAGAACCGACGAAAAGAGAATTTCGATGCCCCAACGCGCGTGCGTGGCGCGTGTACTCCACGGCCCTTTGGATGATGCCAAACGTTTTCGTCTGACAAAAAATTGCAACAGTCACATTTGAATACAAAGCAAAGGACAGACAGAACCCTAAAACAAGAATGTTAGATTCACAAACAACAGGACAATAATGGTTGTTCATGAGATAATGTTTTAATACAACAGCTGCCATAACTTAAAAAAACCTAATCTGAAGATAGGTTTCAAAAGGATAGAACATTGGATTCCCAAAAGATAGCTTATATCCAAGCCATAACCACGCACTATGGACCACGAGTCTGGACCCCATCCGGGCCTGTGAACGAGAGGGCCTAGCTCAACCATCTCAATGCACCAAACGGCCAAGGCTCACTGTTTTCAACATCGAGCTTATGCAGTTGTTTCCCCTCCCTCGGTGTGTCCTCTTCGTTGTCCTGAACGTGAGACTATTGACGAATCCGTCACGTAGAAAAGAAGGCACAGTTCGGTTAGCTGACAAGGTTTTGCTGATTGTCCTGTCGCCTTTCAACAGAAAGGATATTCCTCTGCCACTGACCCTCTTGCAGCCTCGGACGAGATGCAGTCGAGCAAGAGCCAACATACCTCCTTCTGTTACCACGGCTCCCATGAGATTCAGTCAAGTTTAACTTCATTAGGGATTAAAAGAGACTGAAGGCATGAACCACATAAGCTTTCGCAGCCGCCCGAGTCAAGCATTTCTAGAGTGATGCACAATGCTACATTCTTCACGGCTTCGCTAATTATGAGAGGGCATGATGATGGTCTGACTTCTTGAAGAGAACAGGAAGCTCCTGTCATATCATGGAATGCCAAATAACATGAATTCACCTTGGAGTTCAAACTCTTTCAAGTCCCGACATTAGTGAAGGAGAGAGGCGAAACCCGCATCGCTGACTTTTGGCAACCCACCGGGTCTCACTGACTCTAAGACCCTTGCAAGCCTCAGAAAGAAGAAAGATACCCATGTCGTTTATTCTCTTGAATGATACATTTCGGTCACAAGAAGTACATACCAGAGAAGCTTTTAAGTAGTTGACAAAAACTCGAAGACCACAGCCCTGTGTCCATCATGTCATTGTGCGGACCGGAAATGGTTCCCTTTCAGGACAGTCTTTGAGAAGAATTGCCTCATACTCGAGCACTGGCGGTAACCTTAGTACTTTGATTGTTTCTGGCAAGTGACAAGAAGAACCTAATTGACTGGAAAGCAGCGGCACCTGCCAGTAAAGCTCGGATTTTAGTTGCAGAGACGAGCATCACAGGAATATAAAACCCAATTCAATTTCACACTTCCTCTCTTCTTCAGGGCAAGCTTTAACAAATTACGTCCAGAGTCCAGATATGGACACCCGTTAAGCATTTGTGATAGGTTGCTTGAAAATCAAGGGGTGAATCCAGGTCTGCAAGTTCCAGAATAAGAACTTGTTAAAATTCCAAGGTGCCACACATAATTATTCACTGCCACAACTTAACCCGAGCTCGCTATCATTCCGTTACAGCATGACACTATGAGAACTGAGCAATGCCAAAACATGGAATTCAGTGCCGAAGAATCACAATTGACTGTCACGGAAGAACCATGAAAAAAAGTCTTAGCCATTACGTCAAAGGAAAAAAAAACCCAACTTTCCATCATTAAAAGACCAGTAATCAGGAATTAGGCATTCTTTTCAAGTCAACAGTTTTAATAAGAGACGCAGAAAACTAGCAAATTTCATGTCTTGCTCGAGCTTATTTCTCCTTATCAATCGAAACTCCTGGGACTGCTGATCACTAATCTCTTGAGGTAAAGAACCCGAGAAATGCTTAAAATTTCACGCAGCATCGTTGAAATGCTAAGTTAGAGAAATGGCAAACAAAACCCGACTACAATCACGAGTGTTTCATTAAGGCACAAACGATAGCTCAAGGAAAGGAGGCAAATTACCGTAGATTTGGGCAGAGTTGACCAATGGAAGTGAGCAGTTGAGCATGTGAAGCTCCCGGAGAAGAGGCCCTAAAAATCCACCAACAGCGGCGGCGGCGAGGCGGAGAAATTTCTGAATTAGGGTCCTTTGCCCGATGCAGCCATGGAGAACGCGATTCACAGTCTCCTCATCCCGGAGACAAAAATTACCAAACGAAAACTCCGGAAGAAATCAATCTCCTCCAGGAACAATTTTGAGGGACGAAAAGGCACAATCTCGGAGAAATCGGAAACTCACGGAAAGATCAACAGAGGAGAGAGAAGGACGGCGGAGTGAAGGGCGCTGGAGAAGCACGCGACGGAGCAAACAATCACGAGATCCAAACGCTTCAGTATCTTCTCGGTCAACACAGACCTTGTCTCTTCCTTCATGGCTGATCCTGAATTCTCTCTTACCAACTTCAGAACCGTTAAAACTTCTCGATGATCTTTCACCCTTAACGAGCCTATCCGAACACGGAGAGGAGTGATTGGACGCAAGTTTAATCGTGTCCTCACCAAGTTTATACCCGACCCGGGTCCTCAATTCGCCCGGTTCAATAACAGGTCGGTTTGGTCCGGTTTGAGCGCTTTCAAACATTGAGACAATGTTAAAAGATGATTTTCATTCATTGCTAAACCGAGAATATAACGCAAATCTTGTTTGTAAATACTGTGAACATTCCAAATTTCCATTTTGTAAAATCTTAAATATTTTCTTTTTTTGAACTGTTATCTATTTTTCTTATTGATTCTTGGTTCATCAACTAAAATAATATATAATTCTTGGAAAATTGTAAAATGATTTACATGCATTTTACAGAGGATAAGTTCTCATATTATATCGTGCACTTTCAATCTGTGTTATATGTCGAGCCATTACAGCACAACAGGTACATGCACGCATATACATACATCTGTACACACATATATATACACAAACATAATGATGAGACATATCTATAACTATAATGACATGTCCACTGAGATCGAGAAATGCCAACAACATATACAAACATGCACTCGCACCACATGATACATGTGCTTATACTACAAGCCGTTTTTAACCACTTTCTTCGTGGCTGTATGTATATGCGAATGCGCACGTTCCCATGCATGCATGCATACATACATACATACATACACACACATACATACATATGTATGCATGTATGAATAACCAAGTTACCTTGAAGACTCGTGATTCATGAACAATTAGAAGCTTTACCCCATGCATATACGTACACTAACTTCATCATGTCTCTCGTTGTATGTATGTAGACATTGAAGAGTACATAGAAACAAAAAAAAAAAAAGCTGCTTTTGACAGAGACAAAATGTGACAACAGCTACAGTTTCTGTAAGAACAACACTTGTTTGCTGATTATGATCCTTTTTCCTAATATATCTTTTTTTTTTTGGTTGAAGTCCCAGCAAAAACCAGATCAAGGATGGTTCAGTGAAAGCAAGGAGAGATCAGCTTGATGGAAAGCCGAAGTGGTCGGGGTTCTTCGGATTGAGAGCTTCACAGTGAGCAGAAGAAGAGTCTTGCGGGTTGAACAGAGAGAACGGTGCTGAGTAACGGCTCTGAAACGTTCCTGCAGCTGCCCGCGAGCTGAAAGAATCACAATCGAGCATGAAAGATCCCCGAGGGGCAGATGTGTGGAGGAACGAGGATGCTGCCAGATGAACTGGAGGCTTAGGATTGAATCCGCCATGGTTAAGCTGCGTTGAAGGTTCTTCTGCTGTGTTCATCACCATCAAGTTCTTCCCCATTAGCCTCAGTACCGGATTAGAACCAGACGGGATTATAGCCGTGCCATCGATACCCGACAATGTTTTCACGGGCATATCGGGTACCGAGTCCAGGGCAGTGCAGGGTTTGCCTGATGCCGACAGTTGAGATCTCGAACCGGCATGATTCATGTCAGGAAGAAAACCTGTTTGTCTCTCTGCAGAAGCCATTGTTCTTCGCTTCAGCAGCAGAGATTCTTGAAAGTTGAGAGAAATGAACCCTTGAGAAGGTAAAGATCTCTCCTTCCTCTGGCAACAACACGGTTGATTCTCGTTTCTGAATCCAAGAGAACTCTTTTCAATGGCGAAGTCATTCAAGCTGAGGTTTTCTGCCTCGAGCTTTCTCTCGGTATCCACACCACTCCGAAGAGAAGAAGCAGCGGAATCCGGATTCATCCCAGCCGATGAGAACTGTTCAAAGTACTTCATGTGATCGGGTCTAGAGTTCGAGACAGTTGAGGCCATAGAAAGTGGAGAATCAGATGAAACTCTGTCGATGAAATCTCGATGATCCTCAGAGGATAGAACAGGGCTTGTAGTCAATGATGATTGTCCCGGGAAATCTTCAGAAGTCATCATCATGTCCCGGGGGCTTGGCAAGAATGACCCTGGGGGCCCGGGGATCGGAATAGGCTCAACCTCCGGAAAAGAGCTTCCTTGAGCAATTTCAAAGTCAAGATCCCGGTGCAAGCATGTAGCTTTCTCACTTATGGCGTCATCATGAGTAGAATATTCTTCTTGCCCACCGAGAAAACTCGGCTCGGATGAATGACGAATGTACTGATCAACCGATGAGGCAAATGGTGTTCCCGAGTGGCTCCTCCTGCCGAATTCTGTTCCCAGAAACTTACTCAGACTACCACTAATGGCTCGTTCTCTGGTAATTCCCTGGCAATCAAGATCATCTTCTAGGACATCATCGTCCTTTTTGTCACTTTCGCTATCACTATCGTTATCGCTCGAAGAATCGTCCCACCCACACCTATCAGTTTCATCATCAAAATGGTCAAGAACTCGTGGAGAAGAATCAGCAGTCTCGCCATTATCGCGATGTAAGAACTGAGATACCATCCGGGGGCTGTCTGAACCTAACTGTTCTTCTCTCGAAAGTGGACCAGAAGTGCCAAAAGATGAGTCATTTATCTGGTGGCGATCCTCAGACCCATTTTGCATCGAATCAGTAGAATGTTCTCGGCCCACAAGTTCATCATCACTGCCATCTGAAACCCGAGACCTCAACCTCTTGAAGCTAAAACGCGTTTTACCTGCGGAAAGCTTGTTCTCAGAAGCAAACTGGTGCCTGATGGATACTTTCTTACCCGGTGACAGTACTTCCAGGGTTCTTGATCCAATTTGTGGAGAGTCTTTCACATCTTTTCCAAATCCGGCAGAAGAACAAATCTTCCTTCGGCCTGAAGGCGAGATATAGCTTCTATCATTCTCAGAAGATCTCGACATACTATCGGTATTCCGCTTCATTGGCAGAAGAGATCTCTCTGCGTGACCCACTTTGATTCCAGATACATGGGTGACCTTCTCAACTTTACCTCTCCTCCCAAAAGAACTCGGTTCATTATTCTCAGAAGACGAGTTCTTTCTGCATCCTCTCTTGCTCGGCTCCTTTCTCACAGTGGTAAATTTCAATGGCATCCACTGTCTTGAGCTTCCCGGCTGTGAAACAAGCTTTATCGGCTTTTGATTAGAATATCCTTCTGGTTCAGCCTGAACCTATCCAAAAGCAGTTGTAAAGATGATAAATTTACTGATGAACACTGCAAAGATTCGGTGTTTTTCCATACATTATAACGCCTATCTAAAGAGATAAATCAAAAGCGTATTCGAGAAGGATAAAAATCGAAACTTGCAGCAAGCACAAAGGAAAGATTCTGAGAATCATTGCAGTAGAAGTTAAAACCGGATGCTAGTAGGGTTATGTACCTGAGAAGAGTGAGCTTTCTTCTTCGGCAAAAGTTTCGTGCTTTGAGGAACAAGCTTGAGATACTTATGTTTTCTCTTTCCTTTACTGCTTTTCTTTTTAGCTGAAAACAGTTTCCTTCCTTTCACAGACTTTTCCGCCATTGCTCCATCATTGACTAGCTTCGACAAGATCCGGACTTTAGTGCCATTGGCATCCACATAAACATTATCTTGATCGCCTGCACTGTCTCTGGAGCAATCCAGGGTTGCCCTTTGCCTCTGGCCACCTTCTGAAACTGGCGAGTTTGATCCCATGGCGGCCCAGCTTGTGCCATTTCGTCTGTCAAGCTCTTCCAATGTGCATTCTTTCCCCGTGGCGTAAATATCAGTCATCAATCTGATCTTCCTTGGCTTGATTTTATGCCTGACCACCCTGGAACCTGATGCTGAAACCGGTTTTGAGCCCAAAGCCAGGCACTGGTCGATGTGAGCGTTCAAGGTGGTGTTTGAAGACGACGAGAAGGTCTTGCAAACAGGGCAAGTCTTTGAAGACGCCATCAGTTCAGATGTGGCAGCCGTCAGATTGGAAGCAACGTCTTCAGCAGACAAGTTACCAAACTTCACCACCAGACGACACTTCTTGCTCGTGGGTCTGTTCGTGTTCTCGGTCTTGCTTCTCAAAACTGGATAAGATTCCAAACACTGTACTTCAGATTGGCGAGCACTTGTAGCAGTTGAGGGGAATGCATCTTCCGAGTATGGTTTGATTTTTTCTGAGATAACCGCTAGTTTCTGAGTCGTTGGAGGATCATCGGACTTTATGGCGACATCGGATGCGATATCAGCCGGACATGGTTTGAGAGATTTGTCTTTCACGGAACCAAGGGAATGAAATGGAGGCAAAGGCTGTTTTACGCCATGTTTGAGACACAGCTGCAGATTTTCTGAAGAAAATGGCCAGTTCCTGTAGACATCCTTCCTTCGGACAGCGAATACATAATCTCTACAATCATCAAAAACACCCAAAGGACAAATACAAAACAAAATGATCAGTGTTTTTCGCGTTGAACATAACTGAAAATCTCAGAAAACTCTGCTGGAGAATCCGTAAACCCAGAAGTGAAACAAGATCAAAAGGAACAAAACCCAGTGGAGATCTGATTACTTGGAGACGGGTCGATGTGGAATTTTGACCAAAAGATTCAAACTTTTCCATGAGCAGAAGCGTATGGGTTGGGAAATGGGAGCCGTGCAAGGTGTTTACAACCATTGAAACCCCAAAAAAGGAAATAAACAAAAAAAAAGAAAGAGGAAGAAGAAAAAGAAAAGAAAACGAAGGAGAATAAGAAAGGAAAAAAAAAAAGACCATCTTCAAGGACGACAATAGAGACATGGCGGTGCTGTTTAGTGATATGAACCACACAAAGCTTTTCGTGAAAAATCTGGATCTGGCAACTCATCGAGAAAAAAATTTCCAAGGAGACGACCCAGATGAGGAAACCGACCAAAGATTTGATTTTTCCTTCTTCTTCCTTAGTTTCCTTATACCTTATACAGAAATTGGGGGTTTGGCTAGGGTTGACGTTGTTGCCGCTGTTGTGGGGATGAATATGGCTTTGATGACGATGACGATCAAATGATGATGATGATGATAAGGACGTGGATGAACATAGATCCGAATTCACGAGCTTCTTCTTCTTCAATGGACATGGAGGAGGAGGATCTGATTCAGGTGGAGGGTTTTCGATGGATAACATCTGATGAAAAGCTTATTCTCCTCTTTCCTTGTGCTGTTCTTGGAACAGTCACAAGCTGTTCTTCCTTGTGTCCTAACAACAGTAGTGCCACAACAGTAAATAAATCTGGCCTTCCTCGTCAGCTTCGTCTCCAGCATAACAGCAACAAGCGATCGAAATCAGCCTGCAAAATCCAGAAACAAACAAGGCTAAGAAGCTTCTAGAAACATTATTTTATGTGGAGGAAGAGAAACAAGGGGAAGTTTCAAGATTTTTGGATCAGATGCGAGCGAAGATGCATCATTATTTCATGTGGGTGTGTTTCCCCCAAAGAGATTGGAGATTGGGATTTACGCAAAAAGGTCAATCGACAGATACAAACTCAAAACAAAACGAAGAGATCAATTACAAAACTCATGGATTAGCAAACCTCCGAGAGTTCATAAAGGAACCAGAAAAAATCCAGAAACAGTAACAAACGGTGGCGAGGAAGATTTAAAACAAGAACAATTAAAGGAAAATCAATCAACCCAGAATCAACCCATCACCGACTAATACACGCATAAGCAGAAACACAACTGTATGTGCGTATATGTCACCTATATGCATGGTGTATGTGTACGAATCTCTCAACAGCGGCACCAGATGTGAAATCTGAGAACAATCTAAGTAGAAAAATCAAATCTTTTTCTGTGGGTCTAAGTTATCTGTTTCGGATGAAAACCAAAACCAGAAAAAAAAAAAGAAAGAAACTGAAGCAAACCCCAAAAGAATCTGCAGAGAAATTTCGAGTGTGCAGTGTAGAAAAAGGAAGAGACCCCAGAAACTGAAGGATGCCAAGAAGCAGAGAGATGAAAACAGAAGCCAAAGGGATATGTGAGGAAAACAGATCAAGAGAAACAAAAAAAAAGCGAGTTTTTATGGCAAAGCACAGACCTTTATGGCTGTAGAGCTTTGGTTTCAGACTTACCGCAGAGAGAGATGGCGTTTTGGAGGAGAGAAAGAAGAGGGAGGAACAAAACCTTGCTCTTTGGGCAGAGAGAGAGAGAGAGAGAGAGAGAGAGAGAGAGAGAGAGAGCCACCCACTCACACATCAAAAGAGGTATCGGTTCTCTCCACCCAAAAGCAAAGGTCGTACTAATCTGTGTATGTGCGTTTCTGTGAAAACTCAAATCAATTATCTTTCAAAAACATTTACCAACAAATCATAAATTATTGAAACTTTGAAAAAAAAAAATCTAATCCTTTCTTCTGTCAGAAATCTAAATATTTCTTATTTATAGTTTAGTATTACTGTTGAAAATATAACACAATTTTAAATTTGCGCTCCTTGCCATGTTATTTCGTATATGATGTATAGTTGAGAAACCGTGAATTTTGTATACAAATGAATTAAAATGTATACCTCGTGTAGTAAGATAATTTAAACATTATTTTTTTTTATTTTGTTATTTCTTTATAAAATTCTAGATTTTCTTTTTAAAAAATCTATATTTTTTCCTCGGTTAAAAAAGTAAATTTGGAAAAAGTTGAATTTGGAGATGAGTGGGATAATGTTTCTTGTTTGGAAACGACGGGATGTTTTGGTCGAGGGTTACAAAAAAAGGGTTTTTTTTTTCAAGACCTAATTAATTCGAATCATATTTCATATGTCACGGAACTTATATACATTGATGTTTTTAAAGCCAGCGTTATATATTATTTTATGATAAAAAACATGATAAGGGCATCCTATGATTTATGGTACTTGATGAATTTTAGAATTTAAAAGGAATATCACATGTGATATTAAAAATCAAATTATATTTTTTTTTATAAAAAAAAGACATGGACAAGAAACCTCTAGTTATAACATTAGGTTACCCTCTCGCTTCTTAAATTGATTAAAAAAAGGCCAGCATCATACATATTTGCAAAAAAAAAAATCTTTAGTTGTAATATGAACAGTATATATATACATCACATGTGATATTAAGAGCAAATTAAATTAAAAGCAGAGGTGGACACGAAAGTTCTAGTTATAATATTGGGTTATCCTCTCACTTGTTGAATTGATAAAAAAAAGGCCAGTATCATATATATTTGCCATAAAATTTAAAAAAAAAAACTTGCCTTGTAATATAAGTATATATACATATATATATATATATATATATATATATATATATATATATATATTCAAATTCGAAAGAGAGGAAATGAAGCATAATATTAAAAAAAAAAAAGCATATGATATGCAAATATGTATTTTTCAATGCAGCAAAGTACATGTGTACTGCTTTTTATAAGCTTAATACAATTGCAATACCAAATTGAAAGAAATCAAAATAAATATAAATGTTTAAAATGCGAACAATATTAAAATCTAATCAAATATAAAGTAAAATAAAAGATTAATGAACCAAATAATTTATAAAATACCAACAGTAAGTTTTTTTCTTTCAACCCAGTTAAAGATCGCGAATATTTTATGCTTGCATTTAAAAAAAAAACTTTCATTTGGCGGATTTTCTTTTGCCTTCATAATGACAAAAAAAAATAACAGAGAAAAATATAATGGTCGGAAAATAGGAGAAATGAATTCGAGAAGAAAAACAAGCTGCATCTAATAATAGAGTATTATACCTAACCCTATTAAATATCAATGCACCTCAAAATTTTCTCCCTGAATTATCTAATTTCTATGTCGGGACCCTCCTGAGCTCCAACCTAATGGCCATCTTTTTATTTCATTTACAAATGTTTTTGATGTACATATATATATATATACACACATATATATTAGTTATATTAGGGTTTTCCTATAAATATAAATAGTGATTTGAATAAATATCCATAACTTTACAAGAAACACGATTTTATCATAAATATAATTGAACTACGTATATCACATGTCTTTGACCATCTATATACAAATATATATAAGGTAAGACGGAATTAATATTAAATTTCACGTATAAATATATGTGATGGAGTATGCATCTATTTATTATCTGATTTTTCTCAAACATATATAATGCTTAAATTTATTCCATGAAGTACAGAATCGGGTAACTTCAATTAAAATCAATCAAACTAGTTCATAAGTTATTGCAGCAATTAATAAAGAAAATGTGATACTATATCATATGTTACATAATGCTTCAACACAAAGGTTTATTTTACATTGTTAGAGATTGCAAATGGGAATCGGAAAGGACTAACCAATTAAAATTATGTTGCAAACAGCAAAGCATTATAATTTCGTGGAAGAATTAAGGTGGCATATATATAGATCGACAGTATTAAAAGTTACATGCCTTCACTTCCATTAAAATAAATCTTGTAATTTTAATAGCAACAAACTGATTTTTCTATTTTTATTTTTATTTTTATATATCCAATGACTCAATTTTCTATCTTTAATTATTAGTCAACTTAAATCAGCTCGAAAATTAGATGTATTGTTTAATTTTTATTGGTTGCCATTAATTCTTTAATTTATTGCCTATTGTGTAATTTCAGGCACGCATTCTAAGCAAAGAATCGAATTCGTAATATTTCCCGTTTGGGTGTAAAAAAAAGTAAAAAAAGTAAAAAAAAAAAGCCAAGTGTATATCAAACATTATATATCTACCCTACCTACATAAATATCTTTGTCCTATCCATTATTACGTTACGCTAGTAACAAATATAAACAAATACGTATGATCCGTACACATAACGCGTGATGGACACACACACATATACATGTATTATATATGCATGTATGGTTTAATTTGCGTGTAAACGTGTCTTGAAGATTCAACCAAAGTTTAATGTTGACAAAGAAGTTAAACGGTCCAATTTAATGTTTAACAGCCTAGCATCAAAATATTTATCCTTTTAAGTTTTTTACGATATTTAATTTATATATATATATATATATAATGGAATCAATACATACCGTTTAATTTTTGGTGGAAAAAACATTAGTTTTATTAATCATAACGAGAGAATAAGTCTAACCACGTAAAACAATGCGAACGAAATTATATAGTAATGGATTTATAACCATATATTGAATCTATAACACGGAGAGATATATGTTTATGAAAAATATTTTTTTTAAAAAAAAGAGAGATGGAATCTTATGCTCCGATGTAACAATCGCATTAAATATAGTCGATGTCAGCATCCTCCGTTTTCCACGTTGAGCGGGTAACGTCCCTCAAACAAAAAGTCGGTCCAAGCCTGATTTGCCCGTGAAATCGGACCATAAATAAATAAATAAAATAACAATTACATAGTCCAAAAATGCATGCATATGGACTTGTGGTGTCGCTTGGGAGCTTCCTGTCCCTATATTATATTATATATGGGAGGCCACAAATGGATCTTAAGCGATATTGCTATGATATCAGATTTAAGACATCATGATGATTACTTGTAACTACGACAGTTTGGTCAAAACATACACGAGTGGCTGTTTATATATATGTGTATATGTATTGCTGGATCAGTCCAAGAAACTCGTATACCGTATACGTACGGTATTTTGCAATTAAGGGGGAGAAAGTTTCATACGCACACGTTAATATGAGCATGAACTATCTAAGTTTTTGCTAAAATGAACTAAGTTAATAGAACCCGAATCATATATATCCAATGATATTCGAATTAATCTTAATTACTTAAACTAATTTATATGTAATTAGAGAAATCGGGTATTAATTTCACATGTATGTTTTTCAATAAACCCAGCCTATATATTAATAATACACCCACTAATAAAAATTTGATATATAGTTCCAATTCATCATGAAGCACATGCACCACAAATTAAATTCGACGCCGTGGAGAAGTACCAACCTATTTGATAATATATATATATATATATAT